AAAAAAAAAAAAAAAAAAAAGAAAAAAAAAAGAAGAAAAAAAGAGGCGATGAGCATATATTATATTTGTACAAGAGGTAGCCCTTTAAACGTCATCTATATACACATTATACATATATGTATATGCACAGAGACATACGAATCCCATCAGATCCCAGATGTTACCCTCCATATACACACAGCTCTCGTCTCTTTTACTTCACAGCGCACGCAAGCATCTATACATTAACACGCTCCTCTTTCTCTTTTTTCCATCTCACGTATAGTGTATGACGTAAAACTTGTGGATCATTCTATATACGTATGGACGTAAAACGAAATCATGCGTCAAATCAAATGTGCCAACGAAACGTACGTGTCAATCAATTTATTTACTTTTTCCTCCCAATCCTGATTATCTAAACATTAGGAAAAAACTGCTCCGTAGGAGACGAGCCGAAGAATTTCCACGTACCTTCACAATGTACCTTTTAGTTGGAAAAGAGAGAAAAAGTACCTAATTGTAAAATACACAGAGATATTTTAGCACATGTAAGTACTCGCTTGGTCTCGTGATCTTACACACATTGCACACAAAAATTAACACGTAATTACACGTGTATGTAGTATTTAAATGCTTGCTGTACATTTGAAAAAACAGGTGACAGAGAGAAAGGCAAATAAGTACACGATTACTCATACCTAGTTACACATCGATAGTACACAGTCATAAACAGTTTTACTACTTCTTTTCTTCTTAATTTTTCTTTCTTGCGCGGAAAAGAAGTGTTAATATTCTAAGACTATAGAGAATAATTCAAATCTTGTCACTTTTTCTCTGGGTTTGGGGTAATAAACGTGGGATCTGGGTATACATATAGGTATTATATCTGAGTGTAGCCAATACGACTTTACACCTTTCTCATGTACTGTAGGAGTGTAATAAGTATTGGTGGGCAAAGTGTGAATGGAATTCCACTTATTTTTCTAGCGAGATTTGAGATTTCCTATATTTGGTTGAATAACGTATAAGGAGGCCGACAAAAATGTATCCGCGTGCGAAGCGCGGAGAAAAATATAATTAAAGTACGTGCTACACGTACGACTGATCCTTTTTTTTTTTTTTTTTTTTCTTATATCTTCGTTCTGTACAGTGAGTCATCACATCTCAGCCCTTTTTGTGACGTAAATCTTTTTTTTAAATTATTTATTTGGGAGCGTGAAGCAATGAATTTCGGTCAAGTGACGCATGTAAATTCATTGGAAAAATTAAACTTAGCAGGGAAGTCCCTGATTTCGATCGATTCAAGCTCACAAATGGGATGATCGGAAAATTTATTTATCAACGTGCTGAAGTGTAATATCTCCCGTCAATGAGAATATTTTAGTTTGAGTATCAAAAGAGCAAAGTGATTGGAAATTTTTTGAAACAACAAAACAAAATTCAACAAAATATTAACTAAAACAATCCGTTGGATACACATCATGTAATTAAATTAAACAGGTACACTAAAAAATAATAAAACTACGTATTGCAACAAAAAAAAATTACAATCATAATAATACATACATTTCGTAGTAATCGAAACAAATAATCACAATAAACGATACATTTAGCATACTATTTTTTCTACGAGGCATTAAAAAAAACGGAGATACGTGGTAAATAATAATATAAACAAGATCTTGATTAGCAGTGAGCGCGCAACCGTAGACACGTCACCGACAGTACACGTAAAACGTAAAAGGTATACCTGGACGTTGCATGACGGTAGTGAGACCTGTACGCCTTTGCCGCCTATCACTACCACTGCTTGAGGAGCTGCATGCACTGTTGTCACCACTATTTGTGCTACCAGGTGAAAGAGCTGGACTGCCAAGCTATTTGTTTAGTACACAAATTGTGACCAGTTTGTTATTTTTAAATATTTAAAGACACGATTACAAAACTGACGGGGGAAAAAAAATACAACGAACTCACAGGCTGTAAGTGTTCTCTGCTGCCTGGCTGACTCCAGCTTCCATCATCCCCGTTACTGCTACCGTGTAATTGCTGATTGAACACGTACAAATTCGCTCCACCATCAGAGGCTCTTCTGCCAAAACTGCTTGCTGTAACACAATAACGATTTATTCAATATGTAAAGTTGGAAATAATTTTTCAAAACATCATTAAGTAGGTAAACCTACTTGCTCCCATGGCAGATGGTGGTTTTAACAAATACTGATCTTTGATCTGGAAATTTTGTGGTGGTTGGTTCTGGACGAGAGGCAGATTGAGAGCTAAATTCGTATGCGGTAGCAAGGGTAACTCTGCATTCAATGGTTGGAGTAAATGAGGCGCATATCCTGGCGAATAGCCGTAATACCTGGTATACGGAACGCCCTGAGGCTGATGTGCCGTGTCACCTGGACCTACGGTATGACGGCGCGTTGCGTGGTATGGTTGATTGCTTGGCAGCTGAAGTCCACTTCGTTCCTCTGTTTCCCCACCTTCTGTTTCTCCAAACTGTGAAATGATGAATTCGTGAATTAAATAAAAACTTCAAGTTGCCGTTAAGTACTTTACTCAGAAAAGTATTTGACTCTCGAATCGGCTGCTTTAAATGATCTCCTTCGTTAAAGAGACTCGAACGTTTAATTGAAATAAATTGTTTGGCAGAGATAAGAATTGGTAAATGTCAGTGACGTTTTTTGAGTGATTTGTTATCGCGTCGTTCTTCAAAAATTATCGTGCACGTGATGGTAGCATTTATCTTTGAAGTGTCAATTAAAGGTACATTAAATTTTCCCATTAACTGACGTTTCGGCCAAACCACTCGTTGGTTTAACGTTGTATAAATTAATAAGTAATTCTTTAGCCATTAAAACTTTTTTGTTTCCAACCAGTCGGTCTAATGGACTTGTTTACGAGGGTCAACACTGTGGGTCAATTATTCTTTCTTTCTTTCTTTCTGATGATTAAAGCGTAAATTTTCACTGAACAATGATGTTAAGCTTTTTAGCACAAATATTTATAATCTATAAATAATTGTTACATTTATATTTATATATAT